AAGCTTACCAAACCTCGTTAAGGGGCCCTCTGCTTGAAATAATTGCCTGCACCTGTGCTAGAGCACACCTTGCTGCCACAGGAGCTCTACAGCAGGTAAGGCTCCAGGGAAAAAAATTAAGAAAATAACACCTCATCTCTACAGGAGGCAGCTCAGTCCAGCATTGGCCTGGCTCCATCAGTGATTTGCTGCATGACCTTGGATAAGTCACTTTACCAATGTGTGCCTCTGTTTAGAGCCTTTGGGTGAATCTACATCTGAATTTGCCCTGTGGCTCCTCTCCATGCACACTGCCACCATTATTGCCTCTGGGCCACCTGACGGGGCGGCGGCAGCAGCTGAGAGGATTCGCAGGGCAGTCCCAGCATGTGCTCTGGGCAGCTGCAGAAAGAAGGCGCTCAGAGCAGTGAGGAGGAGGAGGCGTCTTTTCCCCCACACCCACAGAAGGTTCTGCCTGGCTGTTGCTGTCACTGCCAGTCATCGTGGGCAGGTGGGTCCAGAGCAAGTGCTGCAGGGACCCCGAGCCCTCATGCAGGGTGTGCTGGGGGGCTGGAGTAGGAGCCAGGCAGAACCTGCTGCTGGGTGCTAGTGGCAGCAGCAGTGGTGGGGAGGACCCATAGGGCAGCTTCCATGTGGGTTCCAGGTTTGGTGAGCTGTTGCATGGGGCGAGGGAAAGAGGGGTGTGCTGACCGGCCTGTAACAGCTCCCCAGAACTGCTTTATGTGGCCTGTGGGCCCAAATAATTGCCCACCCCTGTCTTAGATCGTGCTTAAAACATGGGCATCTGCATGTTAAAGTTCATTAACTGATGCTAAGCGTCTCAAAGTTATGCCACTTCAGCCAAGGTTTAGCTCTGGGTTGTGCTACCTAGCTTATGTTAAGATAGCTTAAGCCTGCTCCATGGAGATAAAACAAACAAACAATTTGCAGTCTTCTAGCATCCTAGGATGCACTGTTCCCAGCCTTCCCTTCCCCAGCATAGAGCACAGAGCCCAGGTGTCCTGGCTCCTAACCATGCCCCTGCTCAACAGCCCTCTAGTTGCAAATCAGAGCTGTGCAAGCAAGAAACAGTATTAACCCTTAATGTGCAACTGCTTATATTACATTTTAATTTTAACACCACTTATATTTATAAAGGCTTGGTTGTGACTGCTCGGTCATTTTTTTTACCTGATGGACTGTGTGTGAATTGCACATGCTATGCCGAAGCTACAGTACATCAGCTGCAATATTAAAGTGAACTGTATGATACAGTTCAAATTCATAGATTTATAGATCCATCGATGTTAGAGTCAGAAGGGACCTGTATAGATCACCGAGTCTGACCCACTGCATAGACAGGAAAGAGTGCTGGGTTCAGATGACCCCA